GGTTTGAGAACAAACATGCCACAGAGATGCAAAAGTTTACCTGAGGGTGCAGTAACAGAGCTAATGCAGTTGACCAGCCTGTTCTGACTGTTTGTGCACATTCCTCTAGTGGACAACATTCAAATCATCACTTTCCTTTGTTTAAAATCAGATCAGATGAAAATAAGTCGCTCTTCATGTAATGCTTGTGCTATCGCATAATTTGGTCTGACAGCGATAGCCTAGTAGACCCAGAAAACAGTGTCCTCATCATTACTCTGCTTTAAAGCTGCACCAGCAGCAACTGTTTTTTGTGGAGTTGTATTAAGTGCCGTTTCAGAGCTTGTACATCTAGACATGGTTGAAATCAAGTGTGAACCTATCGTGCGACACCCATTGGTTTGTGAAGTAGAACATACTGTGAGTTGATCTACGCTCATTGGCTGCGCAGTTTTGACTTGTGTGTAGCAGGAAACAATGACGGCTCGCCTGGTCACACACAATCTCGGATAACAGCTAAACAGTACACTAAAATATGTTTCTGAATTTCAAGCGAGAAACTGGCAACACATTAACAGAATCTAGCTTCGTATTTGATCAGCACTGCCTAGTTTGACAGTTTGATCTGAGTTTCGTGTGCTGCGCTGGACAGACTCACTGAGAGTCAATTGAAAAGTAGCCCCGGCCAAAAGCATATGTGGCTTTATCGTCTATTTTAAATTAAATTGTACCATAATTTACTAAATGAACATCCTAATGTATTGAAGAAGATGTGAAACTGGCGACTGAGACTCTAAACTCATTAGGAAACTGTTTACTGAGCTCATAAAGGAAGTGTCAAGTCGGCTCATTCTCCATTAAAGTGAATGGTATCGCTGTGTTATTGCAGCCAATGGAGCTCCCCCTGCTGAAATGTATTTCAATCTGATCCAGAAGCTCTGTCCATTATGTATACTGTCAAAGGTTGAAATTCAAGATAATATTTATCAGCAACTTGTGAAATAATTTTTTATCAGTCTTCAAAAACATGTTGATTTAAAACCACTTTAAATACAGCTAGCCTCAAGGCAGAGTAAGTGTTGAACTGTATTAAAAAATCCAAATGAAGGAAATGAAGCTGAGGGATAGTCTGATGAGAACGAAATGATGAAGAGCACCAGCAACAAAAACAGGCGCAGCCACATCCATTTACGTTGTCATAAACTCATGCAAATCAATGGACAGTCCATTATTAGTTTACAGTATCAGAAATTTCCCTTCATGCATTCATCCTTCATTATTACTGTAGAATTCTTTCTAGGGTGTAAAAAATCTATTGAGTGTGAAGGAAAAAAAAAGGAAAGTCTGTCATTCACTGAACAGCATTTCTGTTTGCTTCCAGACAACGTACAGCTTGCATTGACTACAAGCTGTACTGCATTGGTTAGTTTAATGGAACAACCTTCTCTGTCGAAATAACGGCTGAGCATCACACACCCATATTGTTGTTGTCAGCAGTCGAAGTTGGGTCATGATTAATTCAGTTCACAAGTCTTTGTTTTGTTCTTTTTTAAATGTTCCGGAGTTTTGTTACTACCTGCAGTTACTGTGTGTGTGTGTGTGTGTGTGTGTGTGTAGGAGTGAGAGAGAGGGGTCACAGTCGTTGTCCATCTGATACAGTTACAACCTGTGACTTAGGAGTACAGTGATGTCAAAGACAAGGATACAAAGTGCTGATTTAGTTGTGAAAGGGCTGCTCTTTGTTACACATCTTCAACAGAGAAAAGAGACACTGATGTACGTCCCTCTTCAAGGCTTTTATGTGTCTGTGTCTATGTGTGTGTTGGCCCTGGAATGAGAGATGGGATTTGTTCTAACATACAGTAGTACTTCATCCCCACAGAGGGCAGAGCTAATTCATTACAGCTTTAATTACCTTGTAATCTAGTCAACAGTCAGCACAAAGAGGTTTTTGTTTGGCAGATATAACCAGGAAGAGATTTATTCCAAAGTCAGATATCCACTACTAACAGAAACTCAGATTAACTGGTTGCAGGCATCGACAGTACTGGTAATTAATCCTATTTTCGATGACAGATTTGTCTTTAAGGGAAACTCTATCTACTTTACACATCAAGACCAGTTTCACAGCCAAAGGAAGTACTACTCGGCCTGTGAAAACAACTGTATAGTGTCTTCTGTGACTGTAGACCTACAGTATGATGTCAAACCTGAGCGATGATAATCCTTATTATGTCATCAACTTGGTTCAGAGACAACAAATGTTCAACAGAAAGTCTGCATTTATAGCGTTTGAAAGACATGAGCATTTATTAGGCAGGGAGGGTTTAATGAAAAATGCTGTTGGTTTGCATTATGGGAAATGTAGGTTCCAGGCTTACAGGATTATTAGGGACTTAAAGTCAGGATATGTTAGCCTTTGCCTCACAAAATCATCACATGAAAATCCATCTTGCCAGGCTTCAAGCTATGCTTTTGTAGCCAAACTACATGGTACTGGACCAGTTAGCGTCCTTTGAGAAAGTCCTTTAAATCTTGTAACAATATTCATATATGTGCATTCTAAAAAGAAGACCTAGCCAAAACAGTCCAAGAGTTACTGATGGACAGGACAGAATGGACAATATTACAACATGTAAAATACAAAAAAAGAAAGGAAGAGCCTTGAAAAAGAAACAAGAAAGAAAGTCGAGATTGAATATTTAGTACAAAAGTTTCGTAATCTTCTACAGAAAGCAAAGAGGGTAATTTGAGGTAGTTATGATGGCAGTCTTCATGTGAGTTCAGTTCAGGTAACAACTGTCATGTTAGAATGATAATAAGGATGATGAGTGTCATCGTGCTTATTATCATTTCTTCTGTGAGTGATTACGAAATGGTTCCTGTCATCAAAGGCTAAAGCTCATTTACTCTCATTGTATTCCTTTTTGGAAGGAAACAGTGGAGATTATAGCAGAGGTGAGCTGACAAGGGACTTCCTCTATTACAAAACCATCATCAGAACTACTCAGCCACATAAAGCCTCACTGAGACTGAGGAGCTCTTGTCCAGAAATAAAAACAGGCACACATACTGTACATCCCTGTGCGCCTAATGTTATGAGGAACCACATTAGGATCTAGGATTTACAGATCTATAACAAACTGTAAAAATGTACCCCTTAGTATCCACCTAATTAACAATAATCTTATCTCAGTCCTGCCATGTTGTATACCCAATTTGGTGTTGAATGAGTCCAAATCAAAAAAGTAGACAAGTCAGAAAATCACTTTACAGTTCAATTTCAGTTTAAGCTAATTAGCAGAACTATTGTCACCTAGCACTTTTATCGTCCAAAAGGTTTTCTTGTTAAGCACATTGAGCTGGACAATTTCAAGTCAATCTGACTTAGGGGTCAGCCTTTCCAAAATGAAGTTTTTGGCCTTAATTACAGCGCCACCATCTTGCCGCTTGGGCTAATGTTTTTTGGGAAGTACATTTAGTACTAGAAGTAGTTTGGTGTTTGTAGCTCACCCAGCTAACAGGAATTTGAGCTTTTGCAGAAAATAAATAATAGTAATAATAATAATAATAATAATAATAATAATAATAATAATAATAAACCGGCACAAACCAACAAAGGGTTTACAGTTGTGGTTTGAACACAATTATGGATGAGGCCTCCTCCTCTCACCAACCTACCCAGGCGGCACCCCACGCTCAAAACAAACGGAAATTTAAACATGTGAGACATGTCTGAACGGACAGTCTGAATGTCGAACACTGTTCGAAGTTTTATGTGAAAACCGCCCCGACACTGACGCTGGACAAGCTCCAGGACTTCTGCGTCAAATGGGCCGGTTTGCCACTCTGTTGAGAGCAAAGCATCGATTTCTCCTTCTTGCAGACAGACAGGTGCCTGCCAACCTGGCATCAAGAGAATCAGCATGTCAAGAATGGCAATAGTTCTTAAACAGCCTGCATGTGTAAGAAAATGAAGTCAAAGTTTGAGACATTCATTTACATCTTACTGCAACCTTAAATCCCTTAGGGATTTTAACTGTTCCTCAGGGAAGCACTGGTTTCCATATTTCAGCATGTATATGAGATTCAGCTTGCAGAGACTTGCAAGGTGTGCAACTTGCTTGGGTGAATGTACGGAAATTAAAGGTTTGTTGCGTTATTTTTTTATTGTTACGATTGTCGTGAATTCCAGGGACTAGGTGACACATTCTAAAGTAATTGACAGACCCAAGGATTAGTGTAATTCTTAAACTTTACCTTTGGTCATTAGGCATGGGTGGTGTCCACAACGGTGTTGCTGTCCTCTGGGTGACAGTACCCGTCCACCAGTTTGGACATAGTGTAGGGGTGGGTATTACCCGGGAAGCCAGAACATCTCACACAACAGTATAGTGGTCCACTGGGACAAAAGGATGCCTGTGCCAAAGTTGGAGCATTTCCTCCAGTTGTACAAACAGCCTGGAGAAAAAGAAGGGTGGTGAAAAATTCATAAAAAAATTGGCTGATGGTATTATTTTGTCGCATCTGGGCGTAATTGCGAAACATGGTGGTGGTCAACATGGCCGGCCACCACAGAGGAGGACCCGCTCCCTCTGTAGATAAGAAACAGCTTATTCTAAAGGTACAAAAAACAACAATTCTTTTTTCA